AGACCCGCCTGGGCAACTTGGCGAGACCTCATCTCTACAGTAAATCAAAAATTAGCCGGGAGTGGTAGCGCGCGCCTGTAGTTCTAGCTACTCGGAAGGCTGATGCGGAAGGATCGCCGGAGCCCAGCGGGTCGAGGCTGCGGTGGCTGGGAGCGGCCGCTGCATTCCAGTCTGGGAGACAGAGTGAGACTCCAACTCAAAAAAAAAAAAAAATTAATGCTTGTTGAATGAATGTGAACCATGTACATATACACATCCTCTGCAACACAGAATTTTAAGTACTAACCTGGTTTTTTACTGTAAAATTCTTAAATTATGAATTTGCCCATTTCATTTGTCTTAACCTGTGAAAAGAGTGAAAGGAAGTTTTCTCCACAAACACCTTGCTGTGGGATTGTAGGCATGAGGCACTGCACCTGGCTGAGTCTGTTATTTTATTTTATTTTAGTTTTTTTTTTTTTTTTTGAGTTGGAGTCTCACTGTCGCTGACTGGAGTGCAGTGGCCACTCCTGGCCACCGCAGCCTTGACCTGCTGGGCTCCGGTGATCCTTCCGCCTCAGCCTTCCAGTAACTGGAACTACAAGCGTGCACTACCATGTCCATTTATTGTAGAGATGAGGTCTTGCCTGCCCAGGCGGGTCTCGAACCCGTGGGCTCAGGCAGTCGACTCACCTCAGCCTCCCAAAGGTGCGGGATTATAGGCTGAGCCACTGAGCCCTGGCTGAGTCTGTTATTTTAAAATTAAGAATTTCCAAATGATTCAGCAGAAGACAAAAAGCTAAGTATGTCATCTACAGCATAACAAAAATTGGTATAATCTAAATGTCCAACTGTAGGATTAAGTAGACTGTAGTTAATCCCTTAATAGAATATTGCATGCAGGTATGACTCGCAGATATTGCGGTTTTGGTTCCAGACCACCATAATAAAGCAAATGTTGCGATAAAGTGAATCACATGAATTTTTTGCTTTTCCATTGCATATATAAGTTATGTTTATACTATACTGTAGTCTGTTAGGTGTGCAATAGCATTATGTCTAAAAAAATGTACATACCTTAATTTAAGAATAATTTATTACTAAAAAATGCTAACCAAGCCTTCAGCAAGTCATAATCTTTTTGCTAGTGAAAGGTCGTGCCTTGATGTTGATGGCTGCTGACTGATCGGTGTGGTGATTGCTGGAGGTTGGGTGCCTGTGACAGTTTAAGTAAGACAACAGTGAAGATTGCCACGTTGATTGAATCTTCATTTTAGGAAAGATTGCTATGTAACAGGCAATGTTGTTTGGTAGCGTTTTTACCCATAGTAGAACTTGTGTCAGAATTGGAGTTAATCTCAAACCCTGCCGCTGCTTTGTCAACTAAGTATGTCATATTCTAAATCCTTTGTTGTCATTTCAACCAAGTCCACAGCATCTTCACCAGGGGAGTAGATTCTGTCCCAAGTAAACACTTTCCTTGCTTGTCCAGCAGAGGCAACTCCTTATCCATGCAGGTTTTATCATGAGATGGCAGCAAGTCAGTCACATTTTCAGGCTGCACTTCTCTTTGGAGTTCTCGTGTTATTGTCTTCTGCGTCTGCAGTTCCTTCCTTCACTGAAACCTTGAGCCCCCCCCCCAGTGTCATCCATGAGAGCTGTAATCAGCTTCTTCCAAACTCCTGTTGATGTGAATGTTTTGACCTCCCTCCATGAATCATGTTTTTAATGGCATCTAGAATGATAAATTATTTCCAGGAGGTTTTCAATTTACTTTGCCCAGAACCATCAGAGGAATCACTGTCTAGGGCAGCTATGGCCTTATGAAATGTATTTCTTAAATAATAAGACTTAAAAGCCAAAATTACTCCTTGACCCATGGTCTGCCAAATAGATATTGTATTAGCAGGCATGGAAACAACATTCACCTCCTTGTGCATCTCCAACAGAGCTCTTGAGTGACCAGGTCCTTTGTCACTGAGTAGAATTATTTTGAAAGGGATCTTTTTTTGGAGCAGTAGTTCTCAACAACAGGCTTAAAATATTCAGTAAATGATGCTATAAACAAAGGTGTCATCCAGGCTTTGTTCTATTTATAGAGTACAGGCAGAGTTGATTTGGCATAATTCTTAAGGGCCCTAGGATTTTCAGAATAGTCAATGAGCACTGGCATCAACTTTAAAGTCACTGGCTGCGTTCGCCCCTAACAAGAGAGTCAGCCCGTCTTTTGAAACTTTGAAGTCAGGCATTGACTTCTCCTCTCTAGCTACATAAGTTTTAGATTGCATCCTCTTCCTAATAGAAGGCTGTTTCATCTGCACTGGAAATCTATCATTCAGGATAGCCACCTTCAGCAGGATGCGGTGGCTCAAGCCTGTAATCCAATACTTTGGGAGGCTGAGTGAGAGGATTACCTGAGTCTATGGGTTTGAGACCCACTTGGGCAACATGGCAAGACCTCATCTCTACAATAAATTGAAAAATTAGCTGGGCATGGTAGCATGTGCCTGTAGTTCCCACTACTTGGAAGGCTGAGGTGGAAAGATCGCCGGAGCCCAGCAGGTCGAGGCTGCGGTGGCTGGGAACATGCCACTGCACTCCAGCCTGGGTGACGGAGTGAGACTCCAACTCAAAAAAAAAAAAAAAATAGAATAGTCACCTTCATCAGTGATCTTAATAGAGCATCTGGATAACTTGCTGCAGCTTCTGCCTGAACACTCACTTCTTCACCTTGCCCTTTTGTGTTATGGAGATGGCTTCCTTCCTTAAGCCTCAGGAACCAACCTCTGCTAGCTTTCACCTTTTCTTCTGCAGCTTCCTTACCTGTCTCGGCCTTCACAGAATTGACTAGAGTTAGGGCCTTGCTCTAGATTAGGTTTGGCTTCAGGGAATGCTGTACCTGATTTGATCTTCTATCTAGACCTTTCGAACTTTCTTCATATCAGCAGTAAGGCAGTTTTGCTTTCTTTATCATTCATATTTTCACTAGAGTAGCAACTTTAATTTCCTTCAAGAACTTTTCCTTTGCATTCACAACTTGGTTCACTGGTGGAAGAGGCCTAGCCTTTGTCCTGTCTGGGCTTTTGACATGCCTTCCTCACTAAGCTTAATCATTTCTAGCTTTTGATTTAAAGTGAGAGGCATTTGATTATTCCTCTTACTTGAACACTTAGAGGTCATTGTAGGGCTATTAAATGTGTCTCAGGAAGGCCTAAGCAGAGGGAGAGAGATGGGGAACAGCTGGTTGGTGGAACAGTCAGAACATACACATTTATCCATTAAGTTCATGTCTTATAAGGGTGTGATTTGTGGCACCCCAAAACATTTACAATAGTACCATCAATAGTCACTGAGAAGCTGGGTGAGGTGGTTCATGTCTATAATCCCAGCACTTTGGGAGACTGAGATGAGAGAATTGCCTGAGCCCACGGGTTCGAGACCAGCCCAGGTAACTTGGTGAGACCTTATCTCTACAATAAATCAAAAACTTAGCTGGGCATGGTGGTGCATGCCTATAGTTCCAGCTACTTGGAAGGCTGAGGTGGAAGGATTGCCTGGGCCCAGAAGGTCGAGGCTGTGGTGACCGTGAGCTTGCCACTGCCCTCCAGCCTGAGCGACAGAGTGAGACTCTGCCTAAAAATAATGATGATGATGAAAAAGTGTAAAATAATGTGAGAATTACCAAAATGTAACACAGTGGCATGAAGTGAGCACATGTTATTGGGAGAATGGTGCCAATTGACTTGCTTGGTGCAGGGTTGCTGTAAACCTTCCGTCTGTACCAAAAGCAGCACAAATGTAATTTCTGTGAAGTGCAATAAAGTGAGGCGTGGCTGTAACTGTTAGTATAATAGTTCTGAAGATGACATAGAAACATGGGAAAATGTTTATAATGAAAATCAGAATAATAGAAAATTGCCTTTTATTATGGCTATGCAAAATATATGTTCGTATATAGATGAGAAAAGAATTGGCAGTAGTAGCCAAACATGAGACTTTTTCGTGAAAGTGGTTTCTTCCTTTTTTCCAAAGTTCTCTACATTGTTTGAATTAAAAGAACATAAGAAGAGGAGGGGAGAAGATGTAGATAATTTAGTTTCGGTGGTGTCTTCCATTCTTTTTAGAATGTTGGGATCCCAGACACCCCTGAGTGGTACAGTGGTGTTGTTGCCACTGAGTTTCTTGATTGACAGTTTGAGGTTTTCACTTTTTCCTGTTTTCCTATTTCTCAGAGTGTGGTTTTGGCCTTGTTTCCTAGATCCATTGCAGGTGTGAAAGTTCTTACAGTCAGCTGATGACGGAAAGGTGGAATCAAGGGCAAAGAAGTAACTTTAAGTATGTGTTTAGAGGTTTGAGGAGGAAAGGCTTTAACTGGCTATTAAAGCAGAAAAGCTAAGTGCCTTCTTTGATAGGGACTGCCTTTCGGTTTTGTAAAGGGAGAGAAGGTTCAGCTGACAGTTTCTGTGAAATGTGTTATAACTTCAGGGGGAGGGCTTGGGGTTTCATCATCGTCATATTTTTTTCCCAAGAGAAGGTCTCACCTGTCCTATGCTTCAAGTAGGCTCTAAACTCTACTGGTCAGAGCAGGACGCATAAGACATAAGTGGCATACTCAACCAGTGCTTGTTATTGACCATGTCAGTAGTTTCCCTTTTGCACTCTGAATTTTCCTACCAGGGAAGGAGCATCCATATTGATTCACGGAACAGAAGGAACCGACTCCACACTTCAGGTGACCTCACTGGCCCAGATCATCTTGGAACCAAGGAGCAGGACCATCCGTGGCTTCGAGGCCCTGATAGAAAGAGAGTGGCTGCAGGTGAGAAGGGCGCTGAGTGGCCAGGGAACTGCTGGTGATGGATGTGGTGGCCCTGGCTTGTGAGAGCTGAATATGTGGCATTTTGATTCAGGTTTTCAGACTGTGTCTGATTTTCTGTGGGCCAGTTAATCCGTCCTCCCTCATTTCTGGATCTCCCCTTGCCTGTGTGCCTCCAGCACGTCGTCACTTAAGAGCTCTTGTTGGCTGTGCATTGCACCCGCAGGGGCATTCAAAATGTGAAAGTGTGTTCTGTCTCTTAGAAGCTCAGTCTGGCTGGAGGCGGGGCCTGTTGATGCAGGGCATGTGCTTTAGCACTTTTTGCCTCTTGCCCATCTTGCTCCATCTTGCCCTCTTCCCTAAGCGGGTAGAACCCTTCTCAGCCTCTAAGATCCACCCAAGTGTCACTGTTTTCATGAAGTCTTTGAGGCCTTACCTTTCTCCAAAGATAAAATTAATTCGTTTTCTGTGTGTCCTGTTTCCTGAACTAGACCGTAAAGAAGGGACTTCTAGGTTGGGCACAGTAGCTCCCTCCTGTAATCCCAGGGCTCTGGGAGGCTGATGCAGAAGGCCAGGAGTTCAAGACCAGCTTGAACAATATAGCGAAACCTTGACTCTACCAAAAAAAAAAATTATTTTAAATTAGCCAGCCATTGTAATTCCAGCTACTTGGAAGGCCGAGGAGGAGGGATCGCCTGAGCCTAGGAGGTCCAGGCTATGGTGGCTGTGAGCATGCCACTACACTCCAGCCTGGGTGACAGAGTGAGACTCCAACTCAAACAAATGAAATAAATAAAATTAAATAAATGAATGAATGAACAAACAAATCAGCCAGCCAGCCAGGTTTGGTATTGCATATCTGAAATCTCAGATACTCAGGAGGCTGAGGCAGGAGATCCCTTGAGCCCAGGAGTTCGAGGCTTCCGTGAGCCATGATGGGATCACAGCACTCCAGTCCGGGTGACTGAGAGAGGCCCTGTTTCTTTTTGTCTCTTGAAAGTGGACATACCTTTGGTGAAAAATAATTTCTGGCCTCTCTAGTTATAGTTCACATTTATGTTGTACTAATGTATGTGTCCCGTCTACCCTGCCTGACTAATCTTTGTATTTAAGTTGGACCACCCTAAACTTAGCTTTCATATTTGGTGAAAGTCCGTCTAGCCACATTCCTCATGACGCTTGGTAAGCAAATTAGGATGGTTTTCACACACACACACACACACACACACACACACACACACATATTTTTTTTTTTTTTTGTTGGAGTCTCGCTCTGTTGCCCAGACTGGAGTGCCGTGGCCGCTCCCAGCCACCGCAGCCTCAACCTGCTGGACTCTGGAGATCCCTCTGTCTCAGCCTTCCAAGTAGCTGGAACTACAGACATGTGCTACCACGCCCGGCTAATTTTTTTTGATTTATTGTAGAGATGAGGTCTCACCAAGTTGCCCAGGCAGGTCTCGAACCCGCGGGCTCAGGCAGTCCACTCACCTCAGCCGCCCAAAGCACTGGGATTACAGGCTGAGCCACTGAGCCCGGCTTCTAACTTACATACTATCTTTTTAATGAGTATCAAAATTCCACTGGCCGCTGTAACAGCCTCATGGCATTATCTTTGTCAGATAAAGTAGTAGGAGGCAAAGACAAAGCAGACCCGTGGAATACTAGAAGAGCGTGACTTGTGGGGAGGTCAGTGCTGGAACTCTGGGCAGGAGTCCAAATGATGATCTTAAGTTTGCTTTGGCCAGTAGATAGCAGACTCTTGCAGGGCTCTTTGAGGGAAAGGAGTCAGTAAGGACGGCTTTATCTCTAATACAAAAGTATCTGTAAAGATCTCTTCAGGACAGTAACTCCTTTCATATGTAATTGCAGACTTGATATTGGAGCTGACCTGATGAAGCTTGTCTGTGAGAGTCCCATATTTGCCCTCAGTTAGTGGTGAGGTTTATGACGTTTGCAGCACAAGTCTGCCGTGTGTTTTTTAGACAGATAAGTGATCGTTGGCCTTTGTTTTGCACTGAGAGCTTTGACTTGGCTCCAGATTTTACCGACCTAGAAAGGTTTATTTTACTAGTTTACCATTACTTACATTCATTATTCTTCCATTTGATAGTCCAAGGACAGTTGTGGTTCTTAGGGTTCTGTCTCAGCTGCACAGCCTCATGAAGGATTTGGAAGTGTGTCTTTTTCCCTAGTTGCTGAAATTACTTGTTTTAAACCAAGAAATCGTTCAACTAAACAGCAATTGCCCTAATTGTATGATGTTCCGCTTAAGAATCTTACAGTAACTGTGTGAAATGGTGCTGGGAGACTGTGCTAAGATGACTGTGCTGGGATGTGACTGCCTCGCTCCCTCTGTCCCCAGGCTGGCCACCCGTTCCAGCAGCGCTGTGCTCAGTCGGCCTACTGCAACGCCAAGCAGAAGTGGGAGGCACCTGTGTTTCTTCTCTTCTTGGACTGCGTGTGGCAGATCCTTCGGCAGTTCCCATGTTCTTTTGAGTTTAATGAGAACTTTCTCATCATGCTCTTTGAGCACGCGTACGCCTCACAGTTTGGAACATTTCTAGGCAACAATGAAAGTGAAAGGTGGGTGCACTGCTCATGTGGGGACATTTCTTTTTTTTTCTTTTCCTTATTTGTTTTTCTTTTTCCTTATTTTTCAAAGAACAGCTCACAAAGGAGAAGGGAACTTTCATTTTTATAAGTTAAAGGAGACCGGGATTTGGTTGTATGATAGTGTTATTTATAAGAAGATAAGCCGGGCTCAGTGGCTCAGCCTGTAATCCTGCGCCTTTGGGAGGCTGAGGTGAGTGGATTGCCTGAGCCCA